CTTTAGGGGCACTGAGGCAATGGCACGGGGCTGGGGTGAGGGGTCAAGTGCAGGTGTTCTTGGCCATGGGTGCCAGCCAGGGCTACCAGCTGGTGCTGGAGGTGCCACAGTCATCGCCCCATAGCTGACGGGATGCCTGGGTCGCAGTGCTAGATGAGAGGCCAATTACTCCTAATCACCTCAATTATATCGTTAGCAAAGAGGCAGTAACATTGAGACGCTGCCATCCAAGGTGCTGGCATGGAGTGAATGCAAATAGATGGGATCTTGGGGCTGGGGGAGGGGACCTGACAGCTGGCACCAGGGAGAGCCCCACTGTGCCCTTGCAGGTGAAGGACTTGGGCCTCCTGCCCTGACCCCAGAGCTCCACCCCAGCACTAGCTGCAGCCTTACTGGGCCAGCAGCTGCTCTTGAAGGTGCCCGTGTGAACAGGGCAGGATGGGAAGTGCTGGAGGAAGCCTCTCTGGGAGCCTGGCCCTGAGTGGCCCCTGCTTCCACCCCCAAAGGACCCAGGTCCTGGGGGTGCTGCCCATGTGCTGCCCTCCAGTGGCTGAACTGGAGATGGCAGGGATGCAGGCTCAGGACTGGGGCAGTCCTATGCTGAGGCAGCCGTGGCCCCAAGGAGCCTGTGGGTGCAGGGGGTCTGGGTAGTTCCCCGCACTGTGGGCAAAGGAAAGGCCTTGTTTCTGCGACGATGGCGGTGTTAGATCTGGCCCGGGGCAGTCAAGGGCTCCATCGCTTGTGTGCAATGAACAAACCGGGAGCCAGGGGGATGCAGAGAGCCTCAGCCCGTGGGCCTTGCAGAAGGGGACTGGCCCACAAGCCCCCCTGAGCCAGTGTGGGGGGAGCTGGAGAGGGCCTGCGCCTGGGCTGCGGCAGGCAGGTCACCCCTGGCGCATGGTCCTAAGTCCTGGAAGAGAAACTGAGGCACCAAGGGGTGGAAGAAGCCACTGGGGGCCACGTGCTGAGCTGAGGGCAGCAGGCGATAGTGCTACAGGCCCTGCACTGAGGGGCTGGGAGAGGGACAGATCCACTGCCTGGTAGTGGGGCTGCAGCTGCCACCAGTGCCGGTTCCCTTTGGGTCAGGGCCTGGCTGGCAGCTTGCCCGGCACCGCCATCCCAGGCCCGGCGCAGCGCACGCGGCAGATGGAGGCTCCGCTAATCCCCCCGCAGAGCCCGGGAGAGCCAAGGGCGAGGGAAGTGCTAAGCTGGGGGCTGTCCCTGCGTCCAGCCTTGCCTTTCCCAGCGTCCTTCTGCCCTCGCTGGGGTCTGCAGCCATGACTGCCTGTCTGCCTGTGCCCCCCAGGCTCCAAGCACGGCGGGGGTGTGGGGGGGGGCAGTGTTCGGCTTTCACTCGGGTCTCCCGTTCAGGGCTGCGGAGGAAGCTGTGAAAACGGGGCTGGGGCTGTGGCCCTGCCTGAGTTTGCAGAGAGCCTGGAGCTGTGGGCGCAGGTGTGAGCCTCCCTTGTGCCAGGCGAGCAGAGGGACCATGCAAGAGGGAAGGGAGGTCAGAGGGGTGCCCGGTCTGGGTGACCCTGCTGCAGCAGGGGCGCGGCGCTGGCGGCATGGACCCACCACCTCGCTTGGGTCCAAGGAGGAGCCATGCGGGGGCTCCAGCCAAGCACCCGAGATCCCAAACCCAGAGCCGGCTCCACCCTACTTGGAGCGGTGGGACAGCCCAGGCCTCGGGCTGTGGGGGTGTCCGTGCTGCGGGCGCTTCCCTGGTGGAAGTGCGGGAGTGCCCGAGGGGAGGTCGGAGCCCGGCCCCTGCTGTTTGCAGCCCGGGTCACATCTCACCGACCGCGCGGGGGGTCCCGCCAGCTCTGGGGCAGGAAGGGCTGGGGAAGAGACCCCGAGCTGAGCCCGA